AATTTATTTTAAATTTAGTTGTTACTGTATGATTTTAGTTATCTGAATAAAAATATTTATTCTGTTTTTACTTTTGTAAGCTTTCTGTAACATACCTATTTAGTATTAATATCGGTGCATATCATCCATGAGACCAACGCTAAAACAACACAGAGCTTTTGGGTGATATTCGTCGATAGATTATATTAAAAATCATATTACAATTCTTATATAAGTAAGAAACACCACGTATGAAAATGTATGAATAATTCTAATACTGCGTAAGTGGCGTAACAATCCTAAAATACCACGTATCAGAAAAAATTATAATTCTAATACCGCGTAAGTGACCTACAACGCACCAAAACTTATTTGCAGAAATATTGTTATTAAAAACATTAAAAACCAAGTATATTATAAATGAATACGTAATAAAAATATTTAGAATGTATGCCACAAAAGAAAAAATTAGTTTTTTCGCTCTCCTGAAAAACTTCATATTTACTCATACGTGGTATTGGAATTTAGGTAGCGAAATGTCTGTTAAAATGTTTAAGATTTTTTTGATGTCCTGGTCCATAGGCTAGAGAACTAAAGTTATGTTGGCAGGAAAAAAATAACTTTTACATTTTCCATTAGTGGGATAGTATTGTGGGCCGTACAGTTGTCAATAAACAAACTAACTTTTCTTTTTTCTTCTATGAACTTTTTGTCTAATGTCATCAGCCATTTCTCGAAAAGATCCCTAGCTATCCAAGCTCTTGCGCTGCTCACATATTTCACTTGTTTTGACTTGACGTTCTTAAAACAACACGGATTAGCCAACTTGTCAATCATCAGTAGAGGCAGCATTTCTGATCCGTCCTAGTTTGCACCAATTAGGAGAGTGACTTCTTTGCTTAGTTTTTCTCCGTGAAATTTTTTATTTTTAAATGCCAGTGTTTTGGTAGGAGTGCATTTAAAAAAGGCCCCTCTCGTCAACATTAAAGATATTTCTTTCATCTATATCCTGAATCATCTTTCATTTTTTTTTCATTCGTTTAATGAAATTTTTTTTGCGTTCTTTGAAGCCGTCTAGCCACTCTGCACTCGCCTTTTTTCCCCATTTCAATAACAAATTGTTCAGCTTTGCTTCTTATCAGGGGACCACTCACGGGAATCTCCTTATCTCTGGCTTGTTCGAAGCATTTTAAAACACATTTGGGTTTTCTGGCTCTTTTAACATTTTTTGATTTTTACCGCACTCACTTTCACTCTTGAGATTTTTTCTTTATTCTTCAAGTAGGTATATCCACCTATTTGAAGAAGTAGGTGTGAATTATCATGTGTTAGGAGAAATTAAAAATTTCTTGGAATCTCAGATTTTTTCTCTGTCCCTTTTTCTACTTCTTTAACAGCCCGCTATTTTTTCCGATAACGTCAAAGTCTTGTAGGTTCGAAGATTACCAAGCCACGATATCTTCGCTCAAAACGCAATGACATGCTGACGTGATTGCGGTACGGGTATACAGATACGGGTACAATTTTCAATGGTCTTGAATGCCTTGAAACAAGTGGAGCCTGAGAACAGGAAAGAATACTACCTCTTTTCTCGGAAATTTCCAGCATAAAATTGGCATTTTAGATTGTAGAAGAGTTCGAATTATCCAAAATATAATACGAATTATTCACGACTTTTTACCATTACTTATATAGGAAATGCTAGGGACCAGAATAAAAATTCGAATTAAAGAAGATTTCGAATTAGAGAAGTTCGAATTAAGCAGGTTTCACTGTATTTAAATCGACTAACACTTTTGAGTCCTGAGAGACCTGGAACAGTTTTTAATAATTTTTGAATTATTGCACACTTCATTGTACTTCTTAAGCAAAGTAATATAGAATTTTGGAAAACTGTTCCATTTCGTTTTGGTTATATTTTAGTGGAAATAAAAACACATTAATTTACGAAATAAAAGCATAATTTATATAGCGATGTCGATTATAATAATTGTACCTCCCGTGGGGACAATTGTAACAAACTTTGGAATAAGTGTTACAACTTGATTTATATCACAAAAACAAATAAAGATTCAGTAGGTAAAAAATAATATTTATTTCTTCAAAACAACTAGGTATATAAATAAAAACTAGCATTGTTAAACATGTAAAACAAAAGTATTTAATCTTCCCTCAATGAATGCAGTAAAAAATAAATCATCGTCATTGTGTCTGCAATGAGAACTGTTGCACAGTTGGAATTTTACATATTTCTCGCCATGCTTGTCATTGGAGCATGGCTGGAAATAATATAAGCACTAAGCATCATTATTATCCGACGAGCACAACTCTGTATTTTCCTTTTTCTTCGAAATTGTTTTTTTTTTTTTCACCTATTGAAGTGCACACTTCGCACAAGGTGTTTGTGGATATATAGCTGTTTTTTTTTCTATTTGTGGTCTTGTTCTTAGTAGTTGTAGGAGCTTTTTGGAAAGAAGTGAATACTTTCCAATAGCTCCTTGGAAATATTTAACTTGTCAGATTCTCTAGATGTTATTGCAACCATCTTGGACGTCACTACGTTCTCCCCAGTGAAATGAGATATAGCATAAAGTGGCTCTTTGGAGTTCTATGGTAGTAATGGCATAGGTTCTCTTCTGACAATTTCAACAAGCGAAGGATTATATGGCTTGTCAATGGGTAAGGATGGTGCAAATTCGTGCTCTTCAAATATATCAATATTAAAAAAAATATCCCATTCACTTTAAAACAATTTAGTATATTGGCTGGAGAAGTAGTTTTGTGTATTGCTTTAGCGACAAGCTCAGGTGAGTCATAAATGGTCATAATTTGATAGCAATTGTTCTTTATCCAAGCATCCATACAATTATTCAGATAAGATTTTAGTAGACATTGCGGTCTAAAGGCTGTAATTTGTGCGATGTGTGGAAAGGAAAATACAAAAAACAATGCCAGTTTGTCAATAGATAAAAGAACTAGGTGCGATCTATGATAGTTTAGTACAATTAGTACCTTATTTTGAGGGGATGGCTTAGTATACCTTGCAAAAGGTTTCATAAAGATAAAAAACGTGTCAATGTACATCCAACCGGAACCATTAGCTTTTAAAATTGAACTTACTGGGGCTTGTGTCATGAAGTATGATTTGAACCGCTTCCTTGGAAATAGGAACATTGGCAGAACATTATTTTCTACTGCGCTTACAGTCAGCCGAAGAGTTACTAACCTACCTTTTTCCGCAAAGGTAACGACGTTTTCTTTGTTGACACAATTTTGGTTGGCTTTCGCACAGTTGTAACCCCTGCCTTAGCTAAATTGTCTATATTCGCTGGCCTAAATATGTCTTTCTCCATCGCTCTAGTCAAATTGTCAAAAAATTGCGTAACTTGTCGCTTCTGATACTCTTTATGATAAGGTGGAATTTCTCCTCATGAAATTGAAACACCAATCCCGTGATGGCATTTTTCTAACGTCCACTGTTCTCGAACTTTACCAAGTACTTTACTTTACTCGCCAAGTTTTACTTTATGCAAAATTCATACGACAAAGAACGAACATCAATTGGTCTAAGCCCATAATACAGGTTCGTCGAATTTCGTATATATTTGCACAGTACTTAAGTCATCCTTCACTGGTAATATTTGGTTATGTTCATTGTCACCAACGTTCGGATTCTTAATGTTTTTTTTTATTTTTTTTTTTAATGTATCTGTACAGGGTTACAGTACAAATTTTAAATTTTCTTGTTGCTTGTTTTTTTGAAATATTTTGGTCTATTTTTGGACTTCTCTCCGTGTTTCTTATTCTTGAACGTGGCATATTTCTGAAAACCAAAATATAAAATTAAGAAAATTCAATTCGTGTATCATCGTTTCTCGTCAGAGTCTTACAAATGTTTCCGTTATTAAATTTGTTGAAAAATAATAATTCTACAAGAGAGATTTAATTTTGTCAATTGTAACTTTCACATTGAATACTAGAACAGTCACGAGACGTCCAGTGATATTTTCAAAGCACTTGCAGCATATTTGCTTTCCTTTTTAACAAAATAATTAGAGTACATAGATATTACATACCTGTCTAAACTTTGCACAACTTCAGGTAGAGGCAATTGAACTGGCGCTCTGAATTTACAGCACTATGCGTATCTTATGTCAACTGCGTGAACCTCAAAGCAGCGCCAATTTAAATCATCCCAATAATGAATATGGCCACTGTTACAATTTTATCATGTTACAAGTCTCCCCGGTCTCGTCTACCGAAAAGTGGTGATAAGTTATTAACTAGAATTAAACAAACTCTAAACGAATAAAAGAGTAAAATTGAAACATCTTCACTGATCCAAAAAATACAAACGGTAATATCATTTCTATTTACTATTATAAAATAGTGGATAGCTATTTTGATGCCATTGTTTGTTTTATCGTCTGTGGAAAAGTTATTGAGAAAGTGAAACTTAATCTAATCACCTGACGTCATCCGTATTCGTTCCTAATCCACCTCGTAATCAGTAGGTTTTTTGGCATTTAAACGCCACGTCCGTCGATTGGGTTTGCGCAGTATAGGAGCCAGTAAAACTGCTTTAGTGCTGCCCCCTATTATTTATTGCCAGGTTTTGGAATATTTATCAAGCTTTTGGTCTAATCTGCAATATTTTTGAGGACTAGTATCCAGTTCACTCACTACACAGTTACTACATCTCACTCCAGTGAAATAATTTTGTGTTATGCATTTGTTATATCGACAAAAATATTATATAAAATATTTGACTACTGTATTTATTCTACTACTATGCCACATTTATTGTTATTAAAATGACTTGATGTATTATGTTTCCACTGGAAGTCCGTAAATCGTTGTTTAAATTTAAATTAACTAATAACAAATATTGTGTTTTGTGGTGAAATTGGCGGTAAATAATGTTTTAGTCAACTTTTTGTTTTTTTGCTGAGGTGGAAAGATTTGAACCGATATTTTTATGGTTTTAGTATTAATTAAAACTACGCTTGTTTTCTTTTCAGAAACACGTCTTATTTTGGTTTACTTGAGTTGTGTCAACCAAAACAAGGAGAAACCGTTGTCGTTTCCGGTGCTGCTGGAGCTGTTGGCAGTCATGTCGGACAAATTGCAAAAATTAAAGGATGCACAGTTATAGGGATTGCAGGGTCTGATGAAAAAGGAAAATGGTTAACAGAGGAACTTGGATTCGACCATTTTATCAATTACAAAACAGCCAACATTCCAGAGGAATTGAAGAAAGCTGCTCCAAAGGGTATTGACTGTTATTTTGACAATGTAAGTATTATCATATACCCAGGTATGTACGACTAACTTTTATTAATACAAGGCTAGATAAAAAGCACAAATCTGTTCTTTATCCGTTTTTCTGTAAGCATCGACAATGCAGAAAAGGAGCAGGCAAAAAAAAGAACCTTAATATAGTTATAAATGAAATAAATATATATATATATATATATATATATATATATATATATATATATATATATAAACAAACAGGAATAGTAACTTGGAATGTATGTTCCACACTTAACACAGCAAAAATGAAATAAATTGCAAGAGATATTGAAAAACACCAAATCCGAATGGCATCGGTACAAGAAATGGGATGGAGAAACAACGGATAGATAACCAAAGAAAAAAAACAAAGACTATGTCTTTGGAAACATAAAAAAAATATGCAATATGCAATATATACACCGACCGAACCTGAAATAGAAAAATAAAGTAAAGACTTTAACAAATAGTTATGGGAGGTATACAATAAGATCAGAGGAAAATAGTAATTGGGGACTTAAATTAAAAACTAGTACGATTAAGATAATTAACGCGCTGAAGCCTAAAGCCCTGAAATGTGGATTACAAATAAACAAAAAGAAACTATCTAAGGGGATATTAAATATAAATATAGTAGTAGGGAAAAAAACAAGAAAACAAAGAGGAGTACCTGAAGACCAACACATCAAATTTGAAAAAGTAATGAGATTCAACTACCTGCGAGTAACTGTAGGACTAACTGGTAAACCAAACTTACATCCATCAAACGGGTAGAACCTTTAACAAACGAATGGCAGAACACAAAACGTCTTTCAATTATAGAAAAATGGATTATGCTTACGCCATTTACCTTCTACATCATAAACATTCTTTTAATAACCAATTTTAAATTCTTCACATTTATTATAAAAGCCTTAAACTATCATTATTAGAATCTATGAAAATAAAAAAAAAAATTTAAAAACAGATACAATGCTGAATAACCAACTTGAGACAAACAGGTCTCCTCTTCTCAACCAATTTAGTTAAAGAATATAAAGTGTTAGGCCCATAACAAAAATAGCTCACTTGAGAAGGGCACTCTGCCAAAACAGCTGTAGTTATAATTATTACTTATAACAAAAATGGGTGGAAGTAATAAAAACAAAAGTGTTCAGTGTTTTTTTGCTTGAAAGAAAGAAACCTCTGTTTCTGAAATAAAGAGCGATGAATATTAAAAATTCCCATTTCCGTTTCTGTTACTGCAAATTCTAATTATAGAAATATAATGAAGATAACTTATGCAAAATGAAGACGTTCTATTTACTAAAAAAACCATAATGATATATTTGGAGCATTAGGATAAAAAATCTCAAATAATCTATAGATTATGCTCACTCTCTGATGTCCAAATGCAAGCCATTCGATATATAAACTGTACAACCAAACATCTAGTTTTAGACTTTATTGGCATAATTTGTCTTCATCTTTTTTATATAAAAATATAATGTTTTAGGTTGGTGGAGAACTTAGTTCAGCAGTATTACATCAAATGAATTTGTATGGTAGAATCTCGGTATGTGGGTCAATTGCTAACTACAACGATACTACAAGAGCAGTTGGTATGTTTAGTACTTTTATTTATTCTTATTTTCTATATCATTATCTTTACTTTTATTAATAATATGCGAAACAAGAATCATTGTTTTTTTATTTTAATAAAATCAGGTAATAGTGAAAATAGATTTTTCTATATATTCTATATATTACATATTCTATATATTCTATATATTCCTTACATGTAAATTTCTCTTCTTGTATTATTATATAAATTAATAAATTCAAGTTTTAATTTAGAATACATAATTAACATTTGAACAATTAAACATTTTATTCTTTTACGCCACGGTGCACCATTTACGAAGGAACCCATACAAGAACGGGTATAATTTTTTTGATGGAGCAGAGCTTATAAGCAAATTTTAACTGTATTTTAAAATAACATATATTAGCTTCCTTTTTAGTCATAAACCTTCTACAGATATCCTAATGTCGTGACTTTAAGACTTGATCTTTTCCATGCTCCCTCATTTCACTTTATTTCCTGTCATTCTTATATATTCTGACAGCGGAACATCTATGGTTGCGGCAATATATATAATCCTTACATCTTCTGGGAGATCTTCTGCCATTTTCTTTTGAACTTTTCCTTACGATAAGTTTCCCAAGATCGTCATTTTAAAAAACTGGTCCAAGAAATATATAATAGTTTTTTCTGTTCAAATGTACAAAGAAAAGTTGATTTCATGTTGTCATGTGTATACCATATATCACAGAATATTTTGTATAGAATCCTTTATAAAAGGTATATTTATTTAAAAAAAAACGCTTTCTGGCTAAATGAGAGAATGTTTTTGGAATAAATAATTTTCAGTGCTGCCAAAATGACTTTAAACATGTACGCTAGGGTGGAGTGAAACACGAAGAATTTTTATTAAATTTTTTATTCGAAATGTAATAGCTCGGAAAAGTTGCTTACTGCATAGAGGAGTGCCATGTTTTTTTTTATTTTTTTCTACCATTTCATCTTCAGGGTTCTACAGGGTGAAACAAAAAAATATAATAAATTTTTTTAATGTAATAGCGCGGATGGATAAGTTGCTTACTGCATAGAGGAGTACCATGTTTTTTTTATTTTTTTTTCTACTATTTCATCTTCAGGATTCTACAGGGTAAAACAAAAAGAATAATAATTTTTTTTCTAATGTAATAGCGCGGAAGCTAAATATATTAATGACTATTAGGCTTTTTACCAACTTTTATAATTTCAAAAAGTCTTCTACATCTAAATAGACAAGAAAATACAAATCCCTTATTTTATAAAAACTTTTAATATAGAAAACAATAAAAATCTCTAATATAGAAAACAAACCATTTACTAAATAAACAGGTTCTTTAAAAAAAAAAGTTCAACTAAATATTATATCCTAGACTATTAAATGGAAATTAAACTGCTACTTGTCTTTAAATTCCTAAAAAAAAATATGCACTGTATTGCGCCTTAGTGTCAAATCGAGGTAATATGGTTCTTGAATGAATCCTTGCCCGAACAAATCCATCTCTGGAGTCATAGCCGAGGACAGAAGTGGAAGCTTCTGTTACAACCTTCTCACATATTTTTACTGCTTGAGTATGACAAGGAAATGACAAAAAATTTGTTGGAAAAATTTCTTCAACATTAATACATTATCTAATATCCTTATCATGTTGTAGCACATAAAAGGGGGGACATTGCAACAGATCAATTTTGAGAATCAATAAGTTTATAATATTCACTAGCATTGAAATTTAAATCAGGAATTAGAAATTCTCTTACATTCGTGTCCAAAGTAGGTATTTTTGTACGCGTCTTGAACATTCTGCATAAGGCAAGTTGTCTTATGGCAGGACGATCATCAGAAAGCACTGCTAGAAGAAGGTTCTCCCAATGACAAAAATATGAATTTCTTTTGATACCAGGTTCAATGACGGCTTTCAAGTCGTTGCTCAGGTAGCGTGACAATTGAATCATTTTAAAGACGTGTCTTGCTCCTTCACTACACGATGGCTTTGTTTTAATATTAAAACACATTGGCTCATAACCTTTTACCACAAATTGAGCCAAAGATCTTAAAACCAAAGACGGATTTTCACTTCCGACGTAAACACGCAATATACGATTTGCCTTTGTAACCCATCGTGCATATGATAATTTACCCCGATTACGAGTTGCTTAATATATCGAGTACTTTCCATTAGAAACCGATTGACAAATTTCGTATAAGTATTTTTGATCACTGCTAAGGTCCCTTATAACTGCAGCATCTAATTGTGGTAGAGTGGTATGAATAGAAACAAAATGGATTACTGGCAAATTTTCGCAAGACTCCAATAAATTGCCTATACTGCCAGAGTATTCACGAGGTCCCGAAGTTTTTCCACTGAGATATTGAAAGATATGCCGGAGGGGCAATTCATTCATATATAATAGATAAATTGACCACTGCAGAGAACGTTTCAGTTCTATCTTTAAAAACAGTAAAACTCCATTCTTCCTTACAGTGTTGACTGTTGTACCGTCGCAGCCTACTACTAAAAGATTACCTGTGCCAATACCGGATTCTTCAAAAAAAAATTAATATAGATGTGGCAATATGTCTTCCTGTACCGGACGTTTAAGTTATGTGATTAAGATATTTAGAACCTGGTTCTTCAAGTAACGAAATGTGTTCATCGGTTTTTATCTTGCGATGAAGTTTATCTCCAACCTTTTCTTGAATCGTCTTTGAACCTTTTACTCTTAAATTATAGGTCTCATTACGTTTTTGTTTTGGATATCTGATGAGAGTTTGATACTTACTCAGGATATCACGAATTAATCGAATAATACGATTGCTTGATACAGTGAGAACTGAGGCTTTTTCCCAGATGGCTTCGATTTCATTGGTAAGTAATTGAGAAATAACTAGAACACTAGGATCCTTGCTGGAATCCATACCTTTTAGTTCATTTCTAATAAGTAGATAACATCTTCTATATTTGGCAAAACATTAGAAGGTATATTCGCAGGTGCACCAAATATAGGAGAATTAGTAGTGCGCCTAGTGTCTTTCACTGGCAAACTCATTACGTACCGATTAATTATTACAATAACGATCTTATCTCTACGGCTAGCACAGTGGAATTGAAGACTGAACTAACTTCGTCTTACTTACTTCGTCGAAGCGATCTAGCACGAAACAGGTCAAAAAAAGTTTTACAGGAAAAGAACATTTCATGGGAAGCGTTTACCAGTGGCGTAGCTTTATTGAATAAAAATTAACTGTAAGGCGAACATTGAACATTCGCAGGTATTACATGTCAAAAAAATATCGATTTTTTCGCTACACCCTAACGTACGCACAACCTAACTTATATGGAATATATGATTAACGACATTGCAAAGGGGAAACCCTATAAACCCTATAAAACATTTGTGGAATATGCTTAAAAGAAGAGTAAGAGCTTGCGGCGATAATCCACGAAATACCGTACAGATAGTACAAGCTGCTCTTGAAGAATGCAACAACCTACCACAACAAAATGTTAACAATTGGATTACGAATGCGAATTAAAGCTTACATAAGGGCTAGGGTTGGTACACTGACTACCAAAAAACAAATAAATAAAAACAATTTAACCATTATTCGTTGAACATTAAAACTTGTTATGGTATTAACTTTTAAACAAATAGTTTCAATTTGTTATTTCAAGAATTTATTGTTTTCTTTAATGTGTATGAATTCGTGATCTTCAGTATATATATATCTATATCAGGAGACACCTCCTGAGTAAAAGTTTTTAACACTATTTGAAATTATCTTGTAAAATGGCGTCTGATCACTATTTTTAATGATTACGTTACTAAATACTATAAAAAATAACAATAAAGAACAGAAAATTTAATCTGAGTTTTAATATTTGTGTATAAGAATAACGATGCCTTAGTTCATTTACACAAAAATTAATTAATATCATTTTTACAGTTCCAGCATGTTCGAGTTGGGAACTTTTTCTAAAAATACATATGAAACAATTTTTGTATTATTTTTACTTTTTGACGACATATTTTATTTTAGCTCCAGTTGTCCAACCTTCAATTGTATTTAAACAACTCAAAATGGAAGGATTCGTCGTAAAGAGATGGGAAAACAGGTGGATGGAAGGTATTAAACAAAATTTGGAATGGATCAAACAGGGAAAAGTCAAATACCACGAAACTGTTACTGAAGGTTTCGAAAATATGTTCAAAGCTTTCACTGGAATGTTGAAAGGGGAAAATACAGGAAAAGCCATTGTAAAAGTGTAATTAAATATGTAGTTAATTATTTTTTATTTTTTTATTTATTTAAGATATTTAAGTATTACTATTTAAGGTCTTTATCTTAAGAACCTAACTTAGCTTATTAGAGAAAAATTATCATATTATCTAAAGAGTCTCACTAAGCTCAGAAAAGTTGTTTGGGCAAGAATGCCGAATTTAATTGGATTTTATTGGATTGAGGTCGGGGCTGGAAACTGGAAAATTCATACAGACATTCCCATCTTTCATTGACGATAACAGCACGGTGAAGAGACGCTTTATTATCCATCACAATAAAATTAGGTCCTGCGAATAGCGCAAAAGTTACTAGATAATGATCTAAAATAGTTGATATATACCTTGCTTCAGTCAGAGAATCTATATCCATAATATCTAAGTACAATAACATACATCGAAAAATATACTAGTCCAAACCATAACTGAGGCTCCTAGATAGGTTATTCTGTCGGCTTCTCCGTAACTACCCAGCACTAATGTATCATCGGAATATATAAAATTGTTAACGGTTACATTATTTTAAATAAAACCTTCTCTTGTATCCTATAAGACTTCTGTAAATATGTGCTCTGAATACAAAATAAAGTCGTGTAAAGGAGATATTATACAGCCTTGTCTCACTCCTCTTTTTATAATATTTATTTCATCCGACAGTTATTGTTCCACTTTCTTTTTGTCACTTAATGCTATTATGGTTGTGTATTTTTGCGTAAAAATTTATTATCCAATCCAGCTGTTTTAAATATTTCTAGCATTTTTTATGTCATACATTGTCAAATGACTTTTAAAAACTGATTGCACGGATCTTTACATTTTGATTTATACTTCTGCATCTCTATCAGCATTTTGATACGAAACAAAGCTTCTCTCGTAACCAAGGAACTCCGAAATCCGAATCGAGTATTGCTTATTATCTTCTCTTATATCGTGTGTATTCTGCTATATATTACTCTCGAGAAGATCATTAAAACGTGACCCATCAGACTTATTGTCCGATAATCACTGCATGCCTTTGCACGTAGTCTGTAACTATTTAATTTGCCTACCACATTGGGTGTCACTTGTAACAAGATATTATTATCGCTTATAAAGAGCTAAAAGTGGGGACTGAACAATAACTGGGCTAGACATAGGGTAAGCAAATAAACTGAAACGTTTGCGAACTGTTACTCCTGTTTTGTTTGAAGAACTGGGGTCGTAATTAAGGGAGAGACTAGAAGAGGCAACTACAAAGAAAGAAATAAAAAATTACTTAGAGAAATGTTCTGGGTAACAAACACAAGAAGGTTCCGAAACTATTTAAATTGGATGCCGTTTAAAAGAATTCTCTTGCTAGATAAAGAAAGGCTTTTCTTTCCTAAAAAAATTTTAAGGGTAAAAATCTTTTTAAAGAAAAGTTTAAACTCCTAGTTTAAAGAGAAGCATCACGCATTTATTATTATTTCTTATTAACAATTATTAAAAATATTATTAACAAAATTTATTAACAAACCTTACAATGGCGTTATTTGTAGCAATTTAAACAATTAATGTAAATCAAAATGTCCTAATTTTGATCAGTATTACTTTTTATCTTATTTAATTTTACTTCATTCTAATTTATTCTGTTTTATTTTTGTTTATTCTACTTCTGGTATTTTTTTATTCTATTTTATTTTGTTCTATTTTATTTTATTTGATTTTACTTCATTCTTTTATTTAATTTTAATTTTGTCTAATATTATTTTATTTTTATCTTATTTTGTATTATTTTATTTTACCTATTTTATTCTACTTTTTTCCTTTATATTCTAATTTATTTTTTTGTTTTAGTTAACATTATTTTACTTTATATTATTTTATTTGATTTTATTTTAAGAGAATTGAGAGAAAAAATTATTCAAGCAAAAGAAAACTGGATGGTAGGGATGTGTGAAAAACTAAAAGTATGTTTAAACATGGCGATAATAGAATAATCAATCTATAAATTATATGAATAGGCAGAATAAGTTGCATTAAAAATAAAAGTATACTAACAAGTGCAGGCAACAAAATATTAACAAAATTCAAAAAGATAAATGGAGAATAGAAGCAATGTACACAATATAAAGCAGCATATTATCCCTTATTAAAATAACTTTCCTAGTCTAAAATCATAAATAAAATATGTAGTAAGAAATATGAAAAATAAAAAAGCCTAGAGCTTAATATTATTTATACACAGGTTATAAAACTTATTGAAGAGAAACCTGTTTATGTGTTCGCTCATATCCTTAACAAAATAATAAGACAGGTAAAATTCCTAAGTGTTTGGAAAAGTGTCAAGTAATTTAAATATTTTATTTTTATTGTTACGAATATGACCTTATTTAGTTTTAAATCTTATTTAATCATAATATATTACCTAATTGCAATATGGCTTTAGTTTATTTTTAAATTCTCGAACTCAAATTGGCTGATTAGTTATTGTCAAGTTCTGAGAATTCACTTGTCTGAAATTCAACATGTTTTTGGGAAACATATATCAACCCAAAACACTTCAGATTCCTTAAGAAAACGTATCCGCCTTTGTGTAGCAAGTAAAGAATGTCATTTTAAGTTTAATTTACGGCTATTCGCGGAGGTCTCTAAAAACAGTACCCTCTAGTCGATTTGGGGTAATAGATACGTGCGCCTTTGCATATGAATTCATTCTTCAAAAAACTCTCGTCCCGTACGGAAGCAAGCGCCAAGCAGATCACCACAGCAGTGTATCTCACGCCATCTCCAGCCGGGCCCAACAATAGACAAAAAGGTAAGTGAATCTCATATAGAATTGACAATAAGATATAAAATCTGCCAATTGTTATTTGAATTCATTCTACTTTTACAATTTATCTACAAATATTCGCTATTTTCGCTAATCTTATATACAATCTAATATTGCATTTTTTTCGTTATAATTATTTATTCAATACAATTTAACCAGCGATCTCTCAAGTTTAATCATTAAACATTTGGTCACTTCGAGACGGATTTTAACTTTGATTTAAATAATTTCATTGTGTTTCAATTAATTCATTTTAATTGATTATTTGTTTTTGTTGCTTTTTATTTTAAATCTGATACAGTCCTTCGCGCTATATTTTTAAATTAAATTTACATAATTAAATTTGGTCATATTTACGTAGCAATTTTTTTAAATTTATTTCTAATTTATTTCTACTTTACCATATATAATATCAGTAGTAATTTTATACTTATTACACATTTTAACTTATATTACATACATATATTAATTATTCATATATATCACTTTTGACACAGGATTTATTAACGTTGTATTACATTTTTTACATTTTTTTTGTGCTGATTTTTGTGAATTAGTTTTATTCTACTTTTATCGATACTTCCCTTGTTTGTTCAGAATTGTGTCTGAAACCAGGTAGCGCATTTCTCTTCTTTCAATCTAGGGCATTTCTTGTGTTCGATTTGTTTAATTTTGTTTGCATTGTCCTCTTTTGTCGTGTCTTTTATCTTACAATGTCCAGCAAAATAAACAAAGCCAACTTGGCGCGCCAAACAGCGTATTCTAGATTGAGAGAAGCCCATGAGGCAGGCATTCAAGCATCAAGGGATGATACTGTCAAATCATTATTCTTAGCTAGGGCAGAAGAAATCGAATCTATTTATAAAGAATTTCATGCAGCTCACAATCTGATCATCGGATCAATAACCGATGAGGAATTTTCGGAGCAAGATAAGTTTAGGGTGGCCGCTGATCAGGCATACTACGGAGTAAAATCCATAAAGAGTGATTTCTTAATTAGGGATTCGTCTTCTTCTTCAAATATCTCCTCACATTCAAGTGCACAATCTTCAAGGCCTTCAGTTAGACTCCCAAAGCTTAATATACCCACCTTTTCAGGCAATTTTCGTGATTGGCCTAGTTTCTTTGACCTATTTAATAGCTTAATTCACCACAATCACGATTTGTCCGATGTGGAAAAATTCCGTTTTCTCATTACGTCTATTAGTCAAGAACCTTTGGCTCTTATTAAAGGCATTCCCCTGACCGATGCAAATTATCAGATTGCTTATGACATTCTAGGGAAAAGGTATCAGAATAAACGAATTCTTGCTACCCAATATTATAACGATCTTTTCAACGCGTCGGTTATCAAAAATTCTACTTCTTCTAATTTAAGAAATCTCTTAAATACTTTCACGGAAAATGTTGCCGCTTTACGTGTTCTTGATTTCCCGGTTGAGCAATGGGATTTTCTATTATTCAATATGCTGTCGAACAAATTGGACAATAAAACTCGTACAGATTTTGAATTAGAAAACAGTCGAAGCTGTGACATTCCCACTTACAGGCAATTGGTTTCATTTTTAGAAAGACAATGTATAGCTTTGGAGTCGGTTCAGTTTAATTCATTAACCCTTTCTACCCAGTCTCACTCGCGATCATTTTCTCATCAGTCTAATAAAAAACCATTCACATCTAGTTTTGTCAGTGCCACCAATCGACCGAAGGTGACTTATCAAGGGGGTAAATGTGTCGTGTGTTCTGGTGTTCACCCTATATATTATAAATGTTCATTCTTTCTTGCTAAAACGGCGCAAGAACGTATTTCGTTGGCTAAACGCCATAATTTATGCTTGAACTGTTTGGGTGCACATCATTCCGCCGTAAACTGTGCTTCTTCGAGCACATGTAGGGTTTGCCAATCACGACATCACACTTTTCTTCATGTCTATCCAAGTTCCAACGAATCTTGTTTATTCAGTCAACCGCCTCCTCAAATACAATCTTCTAATGAGAAAAACAACTCTACATTAGAGAGGCCTCAAACCTCTACGTCTAGTTTTGCGCCGACGTCTCTAGTAAACGCTAACCTTTCCACACAATCACGTTTAACATTCTCGTCTGTATTATTATCAACATGTTTGATACATATCAAAGATGTCTACGGTGATTTTCAGAAAATTCGTATCTTACTGGATACAGGCTCGATGGCTAATTTTATTTCAGACAGTTGTTTTCG